GGGCTGCAACCTGGTCTCGGCCTGCTCCAAGTCCATCCCCACCATCAAGGGGCCCTGGTGAACAAGCAGGTCGGAGCTTAGATTCCGCGCCTTGGGGGATTCCGGTCTGTGGAGTGCTAGAGGCTATCGCGGTTGCATTCCTGACAGCCTGTGGGCACCTTGCTGTCCTCCTCGCAGCTCTCTCAATTGTTTCAGTTGCCAGGTTGGATTTTTTTTGTTATGTCCAATTGTGTCATGCTGCCAAATCTCAGTTCCCTACCTGGCCCCTCCTCCGGACAGATCCTGTGGAAGACCTTTTATCTCAAGGTACTCTTGATAAGCCACTATCTGCTCTATACAGGACCTTGCTCATTGCTGACTCTCCCAAAATTGACAGGTTGTAGGACCTGTGGTATGGGGATATTCTGTCCCTGGATAGAGAGGATTGGGAGGACTGTCTTGAACAATGCCCTAAACTAGTGGCCTCCTTTAAGGATAACCTAATCCAGACTAAATTTCTCCATCGCATATACTATACCGCTATGAGTCTCCACAAAATGTACCTGGACAGGGACCCACATTGCTCCATTGTCAAACTCATGTGGACTCATATTTTCATATATTTTGGAATGTCCTAGGGTTCAGGCATTTTGGTCGGACGTTTTTGATCTTATTAACCTTAGACTTCAGCTGTCAGATGATATCTTTGTAAGTTGCTCCATTCAGCTTTCCCTCAACCCTGACCAGTGTCCCAGCCCCTGTTGCTAAAAAACATCCCCACAGCATGCTGCTGCCATCACCATGCTTTACCATTGGGCAGGTGATGGGCAGTGCCTAGTTTCCTCCAGACATAACCTTTTTTTGAAGCCTTCCCCAGGCTTGTGCTTTGCAATAATCCTGTCTCTGAGCTCTGCAGCCGTTTCCTTTGACCTCATGGCTTTTGCTCTGATACAGTATGCATTGTCAGCTGTGAGCTCATTTATAAAGAGGTGTGCTCCTTTCCAAATCATGTCCAATCAATTTCATTTATCACAGGTGAACTCCCATCAAGGTGTAGAAACATCTCAGCAATGATCAAGAGAAATGAGAGGTTCCTGAGCTAAATTTCAAGTGTTGTTGCAAAGGGTCTGAATACCTATGCCAATGTGATATTTCACTTTTTCCTTTTTCATACATTTGCAAACATTTCTTAAATTCTATAATGGTAATCGCCACAAACGGGAAAAATGGGGAACTAGGACATTATGGTACCAAAATACATAACGATAAATGTTCTAAAAGTGTCAACATTCTATTTATACAAGGCCCCCAAGGGCTAGACACACCCCAACATGTATATAATCTATAAAAACTTATGGAAGAAAATGTTACATGCTTAACCACTTACCCTCCTGAGGATTTACCCCCCCTTCCTGACCAGGCCATATTTTGCATTACGGTGCTACGTTACTTTAACTGACAATTCCGCAGTACCCAAATTAAATTTATGTCCTTTTTTCTCACAAATTGAGCTTTCTGTTGGTGGTATTTGATCGCCTGTGCGTTTTTTATTTTTTGCGCTATTAAAAAAAAAAAGACAATTTTGAGAAAAAAAAACTATATTTTGGACTTTTTACTATTAAACATGTCCAGTAAAAAAATTAAAAAAATCAAATTTCATCATAAATTTATGCCAAAATGTATTCTGCGACATGTCTTTGCTAAAAAAAAAATCCCAATACTTGTAAATTAATTGGTTTACGTGAAAGCATTTACAAATGGCGGTATAGATACTGGGATTTTTTTTTTATACTAGTAATGGTGATGATCAGAGACTTTTAGCGGGACTGTGAGACTGCAGTGGACATTTTGACACTGGGGGAAACTGACTTGGTGTCACTGACATCCTCAGTGACACCAATACAGTGATCAGTGCTAAAAAAAAAAGCACTGACACTGTACTAATGGCACTGGGCAGGAAGGGGTTAATATGAGGGCGACCAAAATGTTCACTATGTGTAGGGACTGTTTTACTAGGGTGCAGGGTGTGTGCTTCACTGTAAGCACACTGCTCTGGATTATTATTATGGGTATTAACGGCTGGTACCTGGTGATTAACAGCCGCGCCCCCTACCTGGAAATGCAAAATCACGTGTGTGTATATATATATATATATATGTACGTAGATACAAATATATCTACTATAGCGTGGCGGGGAGCCGGTTAATACACAGTATTGGAATCTCCAAACGAGAGTTGCTTCAATAGTCAAAGAAAACACCAATGCGTTTCAAGTTGTAAGTTTCCCTCAGGGTATTATCAATTAATTCTATGAAATGAAACCTAAAATACATACATGTATCAGAATATCACAGAAAAAAAGCAGTATTGCCAATGCTGATATCCATTCTTTATGGGTGATACCACATATTTAATGTAAAAGGAGACATTCAGCATTTTTTGGGACTAACTCAGGTGTTCATATTATATAAACTTTTTAAATTGTTTTATTTTTTTATGTGCATTTATATTTATTATATGTTCTATTATATAATGTTTTATTATATATTTTTTATTATTGAATTAGATCTTATATATCTCCTGAAAGATTTCAGTTGTCCTTTGTGCTATCTGTGGACGTTTTGAGGAGTGCCTCCTGAAGACATCCAACCATGTCTGTTGCTTCTTTGCTTATATATAAGTATTGCGAATTTCAGGTAGTAATCATATACTATCTCTCTTGGATTATTGTAATTCGTGTCTGTACTGCTTTTTTGTGTGATATTCTGATATGTGTAAGTATTTCAGGTTTCGTTTCACAGAATTAATTGATAAACCCCTGAGGACCTACAAGTTGAAACGCTGTGGGGTTTTTCTTTGAATATTGAAGCAACTCTTATTTATGATTCTAATACTTTGTATACAGCATGTAACATTTTCTTCCGTATGTTTTTATATATTATGTACATGTTGGGGTAGGTTTAGACCTTGGAGGCCTTTTTTTTTACATTGTATAAATACAATTTTGACACTTTTATAACATTTTATTGTTATGTGTTTTGGTCTAGTAAAGTCCTAGTTCCCCATTTTTCCTGTTTGTGGTGATTACCATTATAGTACATTTGGGATGTGGTACCATTATTTATTTAGTGGAGGTCGGGGACAGATTCTATTTTCTATTAATTTCTGTTTTCACTTTGTCATTATAAACAACGGTAGTATCAAACAGAAATGTAACAAAATTGCAAGAAGTCTGAATACTTTATGAATGCACTGTAAATAAATGAATGATGAGCGGAAAAAATGTAATAGTATATGTTTTCATTCTAATTTTAGCAGTGTGGCACTTCTCCTTTAAATTGTGATTTCTTATTTAAGGGTTAGTGTCACATAAGAACTGTATCTCTCCCCATACAAGTTTATGGGAATGCAAAAGCAACTTGAACAGGTTAGATGCACCTGTAATATATTCTGAATATAAGTCAGTTGCCTGATCAGCCTTTGAATCCTCATTTAGGTTTTCATCAGACTGTAAGGGCTCTTTCACAATGGCAGCTGACTGGGCAGCAAAGACAGGTGGCTGAGCTGCGATTTTACTGCACCCCTCATGCCGGGGCCACCCATCGATATTCTAACATTACACATGTTGTAGTGTTGATTTGTACCGTGGTCATAGAAATTTTAATATGGGCTGCAGGGTTTGACAGGCAGCACTGCCTTTCAAATTACCCCATTGTGATCAATGATGGTTCATCGCAACTGTTTGTGCAATCCCCAAAATGTATTTGTACTCAATAAAGCAGAAATGTGAAGGTTGTTAACATAATAAATACACTTGTATAGATAGTATTGTATACATTTACATGGGTTAGTGTGACATTATATATTGTGACATTAGTTGATAACACATTTAGAGAATTATTAACCTTTATAGTAGTAAGTGGAAAATTCTGCATAGTGAAAAATAACAGATTATAAACAATGAAATAACTTGGTAATGATTATCTTGATAGCTTGATGAATCAGGATCCCCTTCAGGGGGTTACATAGTCAGCAAGGTTGAAAAAAGACTGAAGTTCATCAAAATGAAATATTACAAATGTGGCAAAATAGAAAACCTGTGCTTGGTGCCAAAAAACCCACAAATAATTCTTCAATAAATAATGTTCAACAACCACCATTACTGGTATCTAAATACAATACCCCAAATTATAAAACAGAAAATGTATTGCACTGGTCCTTTAACCAAACATGAAAATATCAATACAAATAAAAGAGCATATTAAAGTGGGAGTAAACTCCCTATGGACACTTGTACCTACAGGTAAGTTTATAATAAAGCTTACCTGTAGGTACAAGAAATATCTCCTAAATATGCACCATTTAGGAGATATTCAGTGTCCCTGCGACATCACCAGCCCATGCACTCTGAAGGAACAGCACACCCAAGCCGTTCCTTCAGAGCTTTGTGCTGCGGCCAAGACTCCTGCGTGCATTCGCTGGAGTGATGACATTGCGGTTCAGCTAATCAAGTGGCCAGAGCCTGTGAACCCAAAAGGAAAACCAGGTAAAGATGGAAGACCTGTCAATGATGACAGCGTGCCGCTGGAGGGCTTCGTAACTAAGGTAAGTCTTTCATAATGGGCTAATATGCAATATAACTAGCACATTATGACATTACCTTGCAGGGAGAATATATTTTTTTTTGTTAAAAGTCAAGTTTATTACCTCTTTAACATGCATATAGTCTTTTTATAATTTGCAATCAGAATATAAAGAAACATATTGTTCATCACCCATGAAATAAAAATGTGTCCATCAAATAAATCTCTTAAAGTGATACTAAACCCAGGACCCTGCATTCACTATACCTGATCTCCCACAGTACACACAACATGGAAATGCAATTATTTTAGTAAATATAAACTGCTAAATACCTTTTTCATCAGCAGTTAGAGCAGTCTTGTGACTTCAGCAGAGCACTGGTTAAAGCTTGTAGGAGGAAATTTCTTTCTGCTCTAGGAGGATGTGAAACCTCTGACCCTCTGTCTGGACAGTGCTGATTGGCCCTGTGCTGATCACATGCACCCTCCCAAGAAAAAAAAACCTCTCTAGCAATACACACCAAACTGACCATGTACATATGACCACGAGTTCAGTCTGTATCAGGTGGTCATTTCAACAAGAGGAGGGGCAGAGAAGAAAGGATCAAACAACCTTTTTACGCAATGCATAGGATTAACCACTTAGGTTCCACAGTGAGTATAACAAGCATGTTTTACTGCATATACAGACTGATTTTACTGTTGTGGGTTTAGTAACACTTTAATGGAAACAATATGTGTCTTCAGTGTCACAACCTCTATGTTCCACCACCAACTGCACTTTACTAGAGGTTAAGAAATGATAGGAGGTCTTAAATAGATTAATTATACCAGGGTTGACCAGGAACCATATGACCAGCATTTCAGCTCATCCAGACTCCATATAGATTAAACCAGAGGCAGAGGCGTAGCTTGAAGCTTGTGGGCCCCGATGCAAAAGTTGACCTGCCTTTGACTACTCGCATACAAGCCCATCACTTTCATCTGGCAGCTCAGAGTGTGGCCTGCCTCCCCCCACGTTGTGCACACATGCATGGTTGAGCTAGATGGGGAAGGGCTGTACTGGGCTGGACAGGAGGCTGGGGAGAGAGTACGCCCCATCACCCTTTGTAGGTGAAACCAGAAACTCAGAGGCCCTGGGACTTGCTCAGGGTGACACAGCAAGCACTTTTCCCCAGTGACACAATGTAAAACCTAATCTGACAGGGAGGCCACACAGGCCCCCTGGAGCATGGGCGGGGTCACCATTGAGTCTTGTACAACTCTTCAAATTCCATCTATGGTGGACAGTGTCAGTAGTCTTTTGATTATTTTCCACAGTTTTATTTTTTTTTTTTATTATTTTTAAAATTGTATTATTTTACAATTTTTTAACAGCCCTGATGGGGGATTTGGTTAAATATCAGGGCAGTGTCATTGCTATCGGGGTGCGTGGACTGCACCTGGGTGATACCTGCTAGAGAGGTGACACCAGGGCTGGTCTTTCCCGCATTTTCACCTTTGCCGTGTGGTTTCGGTGTACGGGGCTTTGTCCCACATTACTCCATTTGTTCATTATATCCTGACTTCCAATGAGCAGGCTGTGCAGCAATGTAAACATCCAGCACAGCCAAGGATGGGTGAGCAAGCCAAAGGGGAGTACAGCCGCAGTGAGAGAGAGTGCAGCTGTCAAATCCAACCTGTGATGTTGGGATGGGTGGGACTGTTAGGCATTTCAGGGGCTGTACCCCCTTAATCAAGAAAACAGTGCATAGGGAAACAGCTGACATTAATGCATTGCCAGCCAGGGAAGAAGGTGGCTGGAGAAGTGTAGCATTTTCAAGGGTGGAGAGGGAACAACAGGGGTGAGCTGTACCATGTTCCCTATCTCCTACCTGGTCAGGGAGCTCAGGAGCCATAAATAATTATGCGCTTAGTGCACTGAAAAGAAGGCTGTGATTACGGTAGGTAGTAGAGCCAGCTACAGAAAGGTACCTATAGAAAGGTAACCATGTGGAAGATGGTGGAGCTTTAAGGAAGGGGGGGAGGGGGAGGTGAGGGCAGAGGAGAATGAGTTGTGTTGGGGGATGAGGGGGTGCAGAGGTATATTGTAGTTGAGGAGAGGTGCAGGAGTGAGATATGGAAGAATGGATGGACACTGTACCTAGCACTCTCGTGAACCTGGCCTGACATTAGCCTGGCCAGCGCCCTGCAGGGCATTGTGGCAGGCTAGGCAGGATGCGCTAGCCTGCCCAGTGTCTACTGCTGTCACTCTGCAGCAGCAGGACAGAGCACAGTGGGTGTTATATGAGAAAAAAATTATTGGGGGTAGGGGTGACACCATGTTTTACCACACCAGGTGACAACCAAACCTAGTGATGCCACTGTATCAGAAAATAGATCCTTGATACCTCACTTTTGAGACAGGGAAAGGAACTGAGAACATAGATTCTTCATTATTTTCTCAGCAGCCTCTGCTGCACTGATTATTTATAAACAGGGAGCTCTATTCATGCTCCTGTTCATTCAGAAAATGAAGTGTAGTAAACAGTTTACTATACTTCAGTTAAGAATGAACATAGTGAGTGATTGGTGCTGCTATATGTACAGTCATTGGAGTAAAATGTGGAAAATTGTTAAACCAAAACTTACCATTATTTTTCTTTCCTGGCTTTCTATCATGACTTTCAGGAAAGCTCCCTAATTAACAAGGATGTTCATAAATGGCAAGTTCAAGTGAGAGAAATAAAACATCAAACTAAGAAATAAAAAAAGAGGAAAGAAACTTGTGCTGACATGATGAAATGCCAGGAAATGAAAACTGTAGTAAGTATAGGTAAACAACTTTTTGCATTTCTGGTATCTCCCAATGTCAGCACATGTAGGCTATAAAATAGAAATATAAATTTAAAAAAGGCTCAAAACAAGGATGGATGCATACATCAGTAGGTTTACTACTTATGATCTACAGCTGTAGAAAGTATATAAGAACCCAAGGCAGTGTCTGTACATTGAATAGAAGTGGATCTTTGAATATAAGTAGATGTCTGCTAATCAAAAAAAATTAATATACTACAATTTACCAATCCTTTCATTTTCGGTTGTTTTTTTCATTTTTTACGCCTTTTCCCTTTATTTTCATATGGTGATCCAGCCAGTAACACACCTCCTGTCTTTGTTGCTCCTTCAGTGGAGTGGAGACATCCTGAGAAACCTTTAGACAACAGCATTGTCAATCTGGAGAGAGGGCATTGTTAGAGCTGACCATTGTAAACACCCCTGTCAGTGTTAAATAGTTTGCTCATCCCTCTAACTGCCACTTTTCCTTGACAGTTTGGTCTGTTAAAGAAGGTTTAAAAATAAAAGGCCTACGGATCAGCTGGTGAAAATAAAGGAAAACAGCATAAAAACAAAAACTAACACAGCAACCAGATCTAAGAATAGGTAAGCAGCAATATATATTACCTTTTATGTTTTTGATTTAATGCCTCCTTAAGAGTCAGAAACCACAATACTGAAGGTCCAAGTTTAAAACAGAAAATTTCTTTGGAGGCCTCACTCCAGAGGGGAGCTTTAAAGAACTGTCTTCTAAGAGGACACATGTGAGTATTGAGAGAGTTGAGACTAGAGATGAGCGAATTTTTCAAAAATTCGATTCGGCTGATTCGGCGAATTCCAGGAAGAAATTTGATTCGATGCGAATTAATTCGCTACGAAGTTAACTTATAAAAAGGGTTTCTAGGCTTCAGAGAGCCTTTAAATTAGTGCAGAACACTGTACCTTTAATTTAAATGCCCTTGGAGATGAGGAAGGAGAAGGAGAAGGAGAAGGATGAGAAGAAGGAGAAGGAGAAGGATGAGAAGAAGGAGAAGGAGGAGAAGGAGAAAGGATGAGAAAAAGGAGAAGGAGAAGGATGAGAAGAAGGAGAAGGAGAAGGATGAGAAGAAGGAGAAGGAGAAGGATGAGAAGAAGGAGAAGGATGAGAAGAAGGAGAAGGATGAGAAGAAGGATGAGAAGAAGGAGAAGGAGGAGAAGGAGAAGGATGAGAAGAAGGATGAGAAGAAGGAGAAGGATGAGAAGAAGGATGAGAAGAAGGAGAAGGATGAGAAGAAGGAGAAGGAGAAGGATGAGAAGAAGGAGAAGGATGAGAAGAAGGAGAAGGATGAGAAGAAGGATGAGAAGAAGGAGAAGGATGAGAAGAAGGACAGTTCTGTGACAGTTTCTGTCTATTTCTGACAGTTCTGTGACATTCACTCCATACAGCGGTTTCAACCGCTGTATGGAGGGAATGTCCCAGAACTGTCAGAAATAGTCTATTTCTGACAGTTCTGGGACATGTATGGAGTGAATGTCCCAGAACTGTCAGAAATAGTCTATTTCTGACAGTTGTGGGACATTCACTCCATACAGCGGTTTCAACCGCTGTATGGAGGGAATGTCCCAGAACTGTCAGAAATAGTCTATTTCTGACAGTTGTGGGACATTCACTCCATACAGCGGTTTCAACCGCTGTATGGAGGGAAGGTCCCAGAACTGTCAGAAATAGTCTATTTCTGACAGTTGTGGGACATTCACTCCATACAGCGGTTGAAACATTGTATCTATTTGTTTCCATAAATGGATCCATTTATGGAAACAAATAGATACAATGTTTCAACCGCTGTATGGAGGGAATGTCCCAGAACTGTCATAAATAGTCTATTTCTGACAGTTGTGGGACATTCACTCCATACAGCGGTTTCAACCGCTGTATGGAGGGAATGTCCCAGAACTGTCAGAAATAGTCTATTTCTGACAGTTGTGGGACATTCACTCCATACAGCGGTTGAAACATTGTATCTATTTGTTTCCATAAATGACATTCTGCAGATACACTTAGAGGAGCTCTGCAGATACACTTTTTGCCGGCTTGGAATTATTCTTATTTTCATCCTACTTCTTCTTCTTCTTCTTCTTCATCCTCATCCTCTTCTTCTGAGGATGAGGATGAGGATGAAGAAGAAGAAGAAGAAGTAGGATGAAAATAAGATTAATTCCAAGCCGGCAAAAAGTGTATGTGCAGAGCTCCTCTAAGTGTATCTGCAGAGCTCCTCTAAGTGTATCTGCAGAATAGAGGAACTCTGCACATACACTTTTTGCCGGCTTGGAATTATTCTTATTTTCATCCTACTTTCTTCTTCTTCTTCTTCTTCCTCATCCTCATCCTCTCTTCTTCTTCTTCTGAGGATGAGGATGAAGAAGTAGAAGAAGAAGAAGAAGTAGGATGAAAATAAGAATTCCAAACCGGCAAAAAGTGTATGTGCAGAGTTCCTCTATTTCTGACAGTTCTCTGACAGCTTCTTCACATGTACAGCGGATGAAACATCTGTATCCTAAATGGAAACTAATAGATACAATGTTTCAACCGCTGTACATGTGTTCCTTCTGTCAGAGAACTGTCAGAAATAGCGGAGCTCTCTGCAGGGACACTTTTGCCGGCTGATCGGGAAAAATCCGATTCGCGCACCCGAAGTAGGCAAATATTCGGATTCGACGCGAATCGAATTTTTCCTGA